TGGACGACTGGGAAAGCCAACCATGAAAGGCACGGACGGAAGACTGGAAGGTATGACTGTGTACTTCGGCCACTTACTCTCCTTGCGTAGCTGTAGTGCCGGTAGCCGTTACTGACCGGTCATAGAGGGGAGCTGACGATTGTGGAGAGCCAACCATGGACGATTGGGCAAGCCAACCAATGAAGGTGCGGACAGAAGACTGGAAGGTATGACTGTGTACTTCGTCCACTTACTCTCCATGCCTAGCTGTAGTGCCGGTGACCGTTACCGGCCGGTCAAAGAGGAAGCTGTCGATTGTGGAGAACCAACCATGGACGAATGATGAAGGCAACGAACGAAGACCATGATGGAATACGTAAAGGGAATACTACATACCTCGTTTATTTACTGTCCATGCCTACCTACAGTAAAGGTACCACTGTCTTCTGGTGATGAGGGATTCTCTTCCGAAGATTCATGGGCAGGTGGACAAGGAGTTACCGCATGGAACTGGAAGCGTGTAATCGCGTACCCTTTTTATTGTAAACCAAACTGTTGTATATTACTGTTGTGGCAAGCCGGCGGCCCAAGGCAGTCGGGGACGATTTCCCCTACCTCGCCAGTCCCCCTACCTGGCCAGTGTATTGTACCTTTTAATAATTCAGAGTAAATATTTCATATGTCCATGTAGTTGTTAGTGATTACGGTACTGCGAAGCCTCCGGAATGAGGTAAGGTGTGGTAAGCAGTTGAATAACTGTCATCCAAAGGGCTGCGTTAGCTGATAGGTGCCTATGGATCACTAATGGGGGAATTGAACGGACGTTGTCTGTTGGATGGGTGGCTGTCTCTAGCAGTGGTAACGTAGCCATCATATAACGGTAAGGATTGCGACTAATCGACCAACCTTGGAGGCTTGGTACGTAAACATATTTACGTACGTAGAATAATGCAATGACGTCCACTAAGCCTCGTCGATAAACCCTTGTAGGTCAGGAAGGAAGTGATTACGGAATGCCTTTAGGGCGGGAACTGGGAGATACGTAGAGACTGCCTGAGGCCGCTGCCGGCCACGGTAGACGATAAGTAGGAATAGCTGTAGCTGGTAACGAGCGACATGACCCACCCGCAGGGAAGGGCATATCAGGTCAACTAACAAAGCCGGTTGGGAGGGACAGTAGACTGTGAAGCAGGCGGAAATGGAAGCAGCCGATGAAGGAATTGTCGATTGCGGTAAGTTTGCGTAAAAGGGAGCGGTACTGCGGGAAATGATATCGGCACGGCGTAGATTACAGGCCTTCGGAAGGGGGGAAGGGGAAAGGCGTGGGCTAGGCGGTAGAGGTGTATGTAAATACGGCAGTGGTCTAAGAGCCGAATGCCTGTGGTAGCAGCTACCCCAAAGTGACAGACGTATGTTTGAACGGCGTAGGCTGTAAGCCTTTTAGTTTCGGGGGGGAGGGGTGGGTGTTGCAGAATATGCGGAGAGAAGGCCTGCAGGGTCAGGTGTACGCCCGGAAGTTGAAGGCGGGCTGGAAACGTTAGTGGACAGCTGGCGTAAGTGGTAGTCCTAATGACGAAATGGGAATGCTGGAACTCAGTTAGGTGGACTCCGAAATGCGTAGGAGGAGAGGCAAGTGGACCATGATTGGAAACCGAGAGATGATGACGGGAAACACTACGTAAACCGAGAAACCGTCAAACGGGCAGTTAACAGCGCAACTGCAACGCATGGGGAACTGCCCAGAGGTGGTTTGGAGTAAGAGAAGTTTGTGTGCGTAAATGCATAGAAGTTGCATTGTATGTTGGACATAAATTTTAGGCAACAGGGAATGGGAACTCCACGTAAACCCTACGGAGGCGGGTTGCTAGTTGTGTTCGAATGTTTCCTTCTAGCCATGGAGGCCACAGGTCTTCCATTACGGCTACCTTACGTACTATTGTTTGTTCAGTAGGTGTGCTTGTGGTATTTTTTTTTGCCGCGGCGGCAAAAAAAAATACCACAAGCACACCTACTGAACAAACAATAGTACGTAAGGTAGCCGTAATGGAAGACCTGTGGCCGCTTATTTGGCACCGGTCGCGTTTTCGTTTCAGGAAGATTACTTAAGTAGTGTTGTAAGACTAATCAACATGCAGTATAATTCTATAATAAATCAGTTACCTCGGGGGTTGGCTTTCAAACGAACCATGCTGTAAAATGACTACTTAATTAGCATAAACTTTTCTCATTGATTTTCGATGTCCTTAAATAATCAATTATAGGTCATGGAAAACAGGCACAAAAATATTCATTCTTTGTTCATTTGGTATAAAATTACGTTTTCTTTCAATTTTATACTCAAAGGCATGGCATAACTCGGTTTTCAAAAACTTTTCCAATTGTAGAATAATTTTGAACTCCGACCTGCTATTACATTTGCATTCAGGATTTCCAAACTACAAACCGTATATTTTCCGCGTGCAGAAGACCATACATTTCTCTACGGTATTAAGGGGTGCATATATGGGATTCATAAAATTTGGCAGTGAATTTGAGCCATATTGTTACCTTTACAAGCCACATTGGTAAATGCAGAGACATGGCGTTTTATGAACGGCCAGTCCACGGTATTAAAAAATCTCACAATTAAAAACTTTTTGAAAACCGAATTATACCCCTCCTTCAAGTATAAAATTGGAAGAAGACGTAATTTTTTACCGAATAAGCAAAAAATGAATATTTTATGCATGTTTTCTATGAAACATTCTTAGATTTATAAGAGCATCGAAAATCAATTAGAAAAAATCATGTTACTCAAATAGTCATTTTTACAGCGCATAGTTTTTTGCATACAGCCGAAAAGAAGTTCGTTCGAAAGCTGGCATTCTTGGGTAAGTGAATTATTATAGAATTATGCTGCACGATGATTAGTTTTACAACCCTACTTAATTAATTTCGAAACGAGAATGTATTTCGGAATTTCGGTTGACATTTCCTGAGTTAGCCCACCTACTGTAAGTTCATCTCGGCGTTGACGCAAGGTGGATGTTGTGCTTTGGGTATCGGTATCCCTCAAGTTTGTCGATCCAAACGAGGCGTGAGGCTCGACAGAAAGGCTGGGTAGCTGTTTGTGAATTTGAAGGATCTCAAGTTGCTTGCATTCAAGGCAGGCCATCAGCAGCGGAGACGACAGTGCCCATCTACCAAACTGGCCTCAGCCGAGGAATACAACAGACCTATTCCATAGAAGTCGTTAAGCTGAATGAGGGCAGAACACACTGACGCCAGCAGACTCTGCTACGACGTCTCAGCTGCAAATTGTTTCTGCATAAAATGATGAGTGGGAACAAATCGCTGAACTAGGATCATTTTAGACGATCGACTGAGTACCTGTTCATCGAAATCCGCCCCACTGCCGAGGATATATTGGGCTGCCAGAGAATTACTTTCTAAGGCAACATCCGGATAAAGGCTTAACTATTAATTTGTGTATTCAAGGCCAGTTGGAGCACTCATTCAGGAAGTTGCGTGACATCTTCTGTATCACAAAACTGAGGATGGACACGGATGTCTTCCTGCTGACGTCCATCAACAAGACGGACAAACGAACCAAGTCACTACTGCCTAAGTTACCTCTGAAGAATACTGACAATGGAGTATCAGGAAAAGATCTCAGGCATTTTAGAGGCGATCTAGAGCATTTCCGCTGGACAAGGCGTTCAAATTACACACCGGCTCAAAGGTATCATGCCTAGCAGATTCGCAAAAATTAAGGGCTGATTGAACCCCAGGGAGCAGTCTGATGTAGTGTATCGTATACCGTGCATAAACTGTCCTCGTAATTACACAGGTCAGTACTGGGGTCACGCATACACGGACATAAGTTGGCCGTACGACGGGCTGAATTATTATCGCAAGTAACTGCCCACACCTACACAATGGGTCAGGAGCTCAACTTCACAGTCGGCCACGCCGGAGGCAGGAAAATCTGAGAAGTGACTGAATCCCGTGTTTCATATGAGACCTAAACCGATCTATGTATCGATATGGCGCCGACATAAGGAGCCCTGCACCGTCACTTCCGAACCTGTGACACCAATCATTGATTGGTTGGTGCTCCCTATACCTGTCGCCTCCACGGCCCTCTCACGCAAGTGAGAGACACGCCGTTCAACCCCCGTTGTGTGAAATCCTGGTGTTTGTGTGTGTATGGGGGGCCAGGTCGTGCTGTGGCGCGCGCAGTCACGGTCAGTCGACCGTGGCAGCCACCGCGCCCATCTCTCACTCCAGTTTTCTGACCGGTTCGGACGGCGGCTGGAGTGTGGGAATGGGAAGGGAGAGTGAGGTCGACGACTCAGCGCACTTTCTCCTCACTATAAACAATCTGACGCGCTTGAAGCTATCAC